GTCTTGATCAACTTCCAATTCCAACATCCGCCGACTGAAGACCACAGCGCTTGGCTTTCTTGATTTATCGCATTCTTTCCTTGTACACAAATTCTTCCGGAGGACTCCATAGTAAACTCTGTATTCTCTATCTTCTTCCTCTCTCGACTATCGTCTTTTTCATCTCTTTCTTCTCTCCGGATATCGCAAGGTCAAAAGGTCATAGCCTCGTCATATCATAGCTTCCACAAGTTCAATCAGCAAGCCACGAGGGTAAGCCCTCGGGCAAATCTCCTTTGTACTTCTCACAAGCCAGCTTTTATACATTTACTTTAGTTATCTAGAATGTTCTATTACTATTTATTGCGTATTACAAGTTGTACTATTTTTGGAAACTGCTGAGTCACAGGAAAGAAGTTTCTGGAATATTACAGATTATAGATAATTCTAGAAAAGTCTGGGATTGCGTGACAGATTCAGTGAAAATAATTCGATCCTCGTAACACTCTTTTTCTGATTGTTTTCGTACAAAACTATTCTTCGTGCTGTCCATCATTGGATTGGTACAATATCTCAATGAAGCATTCTTTTTTTTGATCCAGTCTTGAATTTTAGTCTATTGGGTGAAGAAGTTGGCGAAACTAAAATTTAAAAGGAATGGTGGTCAACTTAATTACTCATTTATGACAAACCTGCAACAAGAACAATGTACTCTTTTTGCAGAAGACTTTCTTTGTGGGAAGCGATTTTGTCCTTGAGGTTTCCAATGTTCTTTTTGAAAAGGGTATGAACCTTTTCATCCATCTTGTTCAAACAAAGATCCGAGTGTTCGTAGAAATGGAGCAAGGTTGCTCGTTTTCTCTCGTCTTCTTTCTTTGCCTCCGTCAACACTGAAAACGCCTGATAAATATCACAAGGTAAATAAAGTACTATGCATCAACATTCGCCCGGGTAAATTAAAGGTTAATTTCGGCCTAATTGGTTAATTTTACCGCTTTATAGTCATTTCGGAAATCTTTGCTACCAATAATATCACCTCTATAGCGCTTAAACATCCCTGTTCTGAGTGCAGCTGAATTTAGGGTGTACGTACATTCATTAGGCTGGTCAAAGCTCGGAAAAACAGCCGCAATGCAATCATCTAGAGGTTACCGTTTGCATTATGTTATCCATGAATACCTAAGTAAATATCCATGTATTGTGTAAACGAAAGAAACTGTTGATGTTTAGCCATAGCAATTCCTTGCCAAGATCCTCCCGAACGATTTACCTTTGGCAAAAGAATCCAACTCTTCGGTGACAGTTAAGAGTAGTATAAAAAATTGTGGCATCTTTTCACCGTAGAAAAGCATCATGTCAGTCTGGACAATAAGTCTTTTGTAATATATTTTGCAGAAATTAGGCAAGCTTTTCTAAGAAAATATGAAAACATAATCCTGATACAATCGCCAACATTTTCCCAAGGTTTATAAAGTTTTCCAACTTTAATCACGGGATGCAAGGAAAAGACGGCAGAATATTGCAGCAAAATGTATCAATCCCTGATGTTCTAAGTGCCGTAACTCTCAACTTGAACCGTCGAGGCTCGTTCGTTGCTCAACCAAACTTACCAAATTATAAACATCAATATGCATGATAATCTTTCACTGTGCGAGCACAACTTATCAATTTCTTATTTTAAATCATTTTGCTGACACTCGTGATCAGTAGAATTGTTGATGAAAGCATCCATAAGTAATGAGCGGCCTTGTAATTAACTCTTCGTGTTGCTAAGTTTGAACTTAGAGAAACAATTGGCGATCGAGTGAATGCTACGATTTCCACTGATCCATGGTACTTAGGCTTCTTCTAGTACTACTCATTTCCGAGATGCCATTATTGAAAAGATTCACATGAAATAAATTCCGCTAGTGTGTTGAAAATTTATACATAAATTGAATCTGATAGTAGCCCATGTTTTAAAAGAAAATTCTAGATTTCGCACCTCCTTTGCCGTCCAGCTTGACTTTTTCTTTGACGACCGGAGTGTCTCTTTTACTTTTTGTTTCATTTCGTCCAAAGTTTTCAGCCCTTTGGTCGATATTTTTAGCGACGCCATTGTGGTTACCATCTCCACGATGTCGTTGATCTTGTCAATGTCTGATAACGTACTCATGTTGCACACCGATAAGTTAAACGTTTATGATCAAAATTTAGTCCGTTTCATGTTTAAAAGCTAGGAAATCTGCGAGAAAGGAAAAAAATAAGCCTCAAATGTTGGGCTTCGTTCAGTCAAAGTCCATTACACACCAAGTGTCTGATTACAGTAGTGCACTGTCACGCATCTTGTTTCTGACGAGCATTAACTGAGCTTGTTTGACAGTCAAAGCGTGACTAATCACGCCATAAGTAAATATCGAGGAGAATAAACCAAACACAGGTACAGGTACATGAAGAAAACAACGGAAAACGAAGTTTTCTTGATTACATTCAACGCCAGTCTTTTCAATGTTTATCAAAGAGGAAGCGTGTATATACCAACAATCCGTCTAAGGCTTTAGAAGTTGTTGACTTGTTTTTGTTGTTTTGTTTACTATTTTTGTTGTTGTTTATTATTATTTTACAGAACATTACAAACAAATTTACACAACCCGCATATAGCATTAGCTAGTCTTGGCGGGTATTAGAAAGAAATAAGTAAATACTACACATTGCAANGCACAACTTATCAATTTCTTATTTTAAATCATTTTGGTGACACTCGTGATCAGTTGTATTAATCGTTGATGAAAGCATCCATAAGTAATGAGCGGCCTTGTAATTCACTCTACGTGTTGCTAAGTTTGAACTTAGAGAAACAATTAGCGATCGAGTGAATGCTACGATGAACTTAGAGAAACAATTAGCGATCGAGTGAATGCTACGATTTCCACTGATCCATGGTAATTAGGCTTCTTCTAGTACTACTCATTTCCGAGATGCCATTATTGAAAAGATTCACATGAAATAAATCGATACGAACTGCATCTACCATTTATAAAAGCATCTAAAAAAGCAGGTCCACACCAGCCTTTGGGTTGCCACAAACCGACCTGCCTTAACAAAAATTATATGTATGTATGTATGTATGTATCTAGATACTTCCACTATATATTGTGTTGCAAATGTCCTTTTTACATAAACTGAATCTGCTAGTAGCCCATGTTTTAAAAGGAAATTCTAGATTTCTCACCTCCTTTGCCGTCCAGCTTGACTTTTTCTTGGACGACCGGAGTGTCTCTTTTACTTTTTGTTTCATTTCGTCCAACGTTTTCAGCCCTTCGGTCGGAATTTTTAGCGACGCCATTGTGGTTACCATCTCCACGATGTCGTTGATCTTGTCAATGTCTGATAATGTACTCATGTTGCACACTGATAAGTTAAACGTTTATGATAAAAATTTAGTCCGTTTCATGTTTAAAAGCTAGGAAATCTGCGAGAGAGGAAAAAAATAAGCCTCAAATGTTGGGCTTCGTTCAGTCAAAGACAATTACACACCAAGTGTCTGATTACAGTGGTGCACTGTCACGCATCCTGCTACTGACGAGCATTGTCTGAGCTTGTTTGACAGTCAAAGCGTGACTAATCACGCCATAAGTAAATATCGAGGAGAATAAATCAGACATAGGTACAGGTACATGGAGAAAATAACGGGAAACAAAGTTTTCTTGTTTACATTCAACGTCATTGGTATTGAAGCATGTATATACCAACAATCGTAAGTCCTTAAAAGTTGTTGACTTGTTTTTGTTGTTTTGTTTACTATCTTTGTTGTTGTTTATCATTATTTTACAGAATATTACAAGCAAATTTACACAACCCGCATATAGCATTAGCTAGTCTTGGCGGGTATTAGAAATAAATAAGTATATACTACACATTACAAGCTAAAGAGTTTGATTACCACAATAAACTAAAGAGATTTTACAATAAACTAAAGAGATTTCATTACTACTATATTATTGGGGTTATAAGCCATGCATTAGTTTACTACATTATAAGCTAAAAAATACGTACAGTTGTCATACAAATTAAATACAATAAAATTACTAGTGAGTTAAAACAAGACATAATAATCAAATACAGAACCCCT